AGGGAGAGTGAGTGAGAGTATGTGTGTGTGTGTGTGTGTGTGTGTGTGTGTGTGTGTGTGTGTGTGTGTGTGTCTTCTCCAGGGTGTCGGGTCCACTCCTCTCTCCGGGGATGAAGGGAACAGGCACCCCCCCTCCCCCTCCGCCCCCTCCCGCATTGGAGAAGCATCACGTCCAAGCCCAGCACAAGCCCTTCTCTCACTATCACCACCATCAGACCCCCAACAACGGTCAGGCCAATGAGGACTTTTGCTCTGAAGCACACGACACTTTAGGACACCCGCGCAAACATATGCAAAAAAAAAAAAAATGCATGGGGGTGGGGGGGGGGTCGTGGGAACTAATACCAAAGTTGAAGAAAACATTTTGGTTCAAAAAAAATGCTTTAAAATGAGGAAAACGAACTGAAACTACAGCTTACGTTTCTAAAAATAACCAAAACTAAACGGAAAAAAAAAATTGGATGTTGAATTTACTCCATTTTGTCAAGCAGTTGCATTCAATAAAATCATCTGGATTCTGGTACATTTTTTTTTTTTAAGTATACCATCCATCAACTTCAAAAAAATGTATCTCAATCCAGTTGATTTTATTGTGGGGTGGGCCAGCATGTTGGACAAAAGCCAACAGGAGATAACCGCCCGGGAGGAGATTGATGAAAGATTCCCTTCATTCCCGCAGCCCGACTTGGCCTGCCAGCCGCATGCGAGCAGGCCGAGGGTGCGGCGGCAGTTGCCGCCGCCGCTGCTGCTAGCGGGCAGCTGGCAGCGGTAAGCTTCTGATGCACTTTAGCTTCACATAGAGGCAGCTTGTAAAAATATGAAGAGAGGAACTGTTTCCTGGGCTGGTGCTGACAGCGGTCCCGCCGAGGTTTGGGGGGTGTTGGTACGCCGCGCAAAACCCGCCTCGGCCCAACGCTCGCTCGCCAGGCAGGTGCCGCACGACATCGCTGCCTCGTCAGGGCGACGACACCCCGGCCGCATGGTGACTTTTCAACACAGCCGAAGTCTGACTTGCCTTATCTTGTCGTTCTGGCGGAGGGCAGGTTTCAGTTTTTGCCAAGTCCTCCAAAGGCCTTCCCGTCGTCGCCTCTGCCAAGCATGTGCTTCTTCAGCAGCAGCAGTTTATGCGCTGCATTCCTTATCTGCACACGCTAAGGAGCTGTTGAATAGTTAAGGGGAGTCGACTTGCCAGCTGCATTTTATTAAAGGCAGTTACAGTGTAAAACTACTGCAAGTGGCGGGCGGTCACGACAAGCAAGGCCTTCTCTGCTACCTTCGTTTACAAGCAAAATTTAAATCAATTTAAAATATATATATCCTAAATTCATTGAATGTTTTTATTTTAAATTGTTAAAAACTCAAGTGAATTTTCATTTCCGAGCACTTTACAAGAGTCCTGCAGCGTTCGGCCTTTTTTTTGCAAATCGACCGAGGACCGTCAGAGGAGGTCCGAACGGGGCCGGCTAGCAACCCCCACCCCCCCACCCACCCCC